TTGCTAAAACTGACTTATTTAGTTATAAGTGAACTTTTTGAGTTTAAACAAACATGTGCCAAGAGATAATGCTTGAAAGTTCTAGTGAGCAGGAACCTCAGATTTTCCACGCTGATTTTAAGTCGAACATAATGTATGGTTGCCCCCGAAGCATCAAACGGGAAGAGATAGAATGGGCTGCAAAGCGGGCTTATGTGCACGAATTCATCTCTTCTTTTCCCAGGGGTTATGATACTCCTATTGATAATAATCTATTAAGTAGAGGGCAAAAGCAGCGCATTGCTATTGCAAGGGCAATTCTTAGAGATCCTACAATTCTTGTTTTCGATGAAGCTACCAGCGCTCTTGATGCTGAGAATGAACACTTAATCAAGGTCTAAAAATTCTCCAGCATTAATTTTGTTTACTTTTCTTAAGCGATAGGGAAAAAAATTGTTTTCATTCTTCCACACATTCTTTCATGCAGGAGATACTTTATTCTTTCAAGAAAGAATTGAATCGTACAGTAATTATAATCGCACACAGGTTTGTCATTTCACACTCTCATTTTCTTGTTCATTATGGGTTCGGACTTGCAATATGTAACCCACCTTCAACAGGATGTCTACCATAAAAGATGTTGACAGAATTCTGGTAATGGATAGCGGACAAGTTGTTGAGGTAATGCATTCATTTGTTGCTTTCAGAACTACCTATTTAAGATTCGAGTGAAGTTATTTGAAGTCTTTGATTGGACAGCTTTGTTATTAGAATCTCTCAAACAGTGGGATAAGTTAAAAATGATGTCTCGTGTGGAAATTTTTTTAAACAAGTATGTGTGTGTGTGTATATATATATATATATATTCTTGATTGGAGATTTATATTGCCAAGAGCATCCGGTGACCTTATCTTTTGATATCTTCATGTCATTCAGCTTATTTTTGGTTGGAAAGATAGTCATGAACTTCACTTAGAGGGGATATGAAGGAAATGTTGGGAGGGTAGAAGTAGAGAGGATCCTTAACCCTGCTGTCCATTTTTCTACCGTCCAGGTTGGCTTCCCACGCCTTGTGGCCTTAAAGGAGTCAAACGGGTATGAACCGAAGCTCATACAGACTGGGTAGATGACCCTAGGTGTCATGTACCAATTTAAACGATCCCCCTCTTTATCTGAACATGTTTTATGGTCTAAATCTTAATCCCTACTGTAATGAACAACAATAAAAGAACAAGCAATCAGAAATGAGCATAGCAGATAGATATGTAATGGTTCACCCTCAACATGATCACTGTAGGTTTTCATCATAGTGGGAAGAAGAGCACAAGTTTGTTAACCCCTATATTGCACCAAAGGTGGTCCCTAATAAATCCTTTATATAGGAATGTAAGTTGAATTGCAGTCAAGCAGGTTAGTTTACAGTATGATTGGACTCCACATACTCCCATAACATTGATTACAGATTCCATTAGAGTAGAAGGCTAGAAAACTTAGTGAGATTCTATGGATTGACTTGAGAATTTACCGTAAATTTAACCTTTTTAAATATTAGAATTATATGTGCATAAGATTTGCCGTAGTGCAAATATGTAATTGGTTCAGCTAATGTAGACCATTTTCCCTTAAGAGTAAAGCTATTTGCATTCTCATAATAAATGCATTCTGAAGAGCTAAATATCTGATGCAGATGGGTAATCATGTAGAGCTCCTTTGCAAGGATGGACTATATGCTCGATTATTCAAATTACAAAATGACATTCTAGATTGATCGACTATAGGAAGAGACTCACCGACAATATGATTCCTCTGTGCACAACACAGGTGCTGATATTGCTCGTCTTCACTAACATGTCTATTTTAACAAGTCTTACTGGCTCTCTCCGAGACAATACCTAGATAATTATACCTTTTGTGATATTGCACTAAACATTGAGTACGGGCGTTATTTTGGCTTATCAGGGTAAGATGTCTCTAGTAGAGTGAACATATGAAACAAAACTCCATTTCCTCTAAAGGATAGCTCTCTGGATTTGTGTATTCTTTTATCCTTTATGAGATTATATCCTTTTTTGGTGGCCCCCTTCTTTTATTTGTTTGTGAATTATGATATGCATGCTAATTCTTAAACCCTTGCATTGTTAAAATATTTAACCAATCAAAACAAGATGAATTGATACTTTATTTTATTTACTTAAAAAGAGAAAATATGTGGGAAACTCTCCATGTTTTCAAAAGTCATAGAAACATCGGTCAAAGTTTTTTTTTTTCATAATAGATTCTCCTTTTCACGAGTTAATTGTTCCAATGATTACTGAACTTAGGTTGATGTCTTTGATTGGTCACTGAAATTTAAAATATCGAGTTTTTGTCACTAAATTTAGGTCAATGTCCTCGATTGCTCACTAAACTTAGATCCATGTTTTAGATTGCCCACTAAAGTTTAAAATATCGAGTTTTGGTCACTAAATTTTGGAATATGCCGTACATTACTCACTAATATAACTGTTGGACTTTGAAAAATGTTGAGTTTACAGTGAGTATTGTACAGCATTTTTCAAAGTTCAATGAGTAATGTATAATATTTTTCATAGTTCAATAGTCAAAATTCGACATTTTGCACTTCAGTGAACAATCGAAAACATGAACTTAAGTTCAGTGATCAAAACTCGATATTTTAGACTCCAATGATCAATCAAATATATGAACCTAAGTTCAGTGATCATTGGAACAATTAACTCCCTTTTCACTTAGAACTAAATCTGCATATTTTACCCTTCTATATTTATATTAACTTTAAACTTATTATCTAAAACAAATTTAAACTGTAAATCATTTCTTAAAAGAAATATTATTATATATTTATGAAATTTCTCCATGTGCAATATATAATGCAAATCATTTTTTATTTTTATTTTTTTTGTTCTTACCATGATACTAAAAACATAAAAGTAATACTTGTTTCAAGTTAAAAGGATTTTCTTATCTAAAATAAAATTAATAAAAATTAGAAAAAGGATTGTTCCGAATGTTAAGATAAGAGTAAAATAAGAATATTACATTTACTTTTGCCTAGAGGGGGCTTAAAGTAATTTTATAAAACACAGGTATCTAACGTTAATCATTAATCCGCGAGTATATTTGTTATTAGAATAATGATATTTGCAGTGAAGATTACCGACAGTCGCCCTATGTGACGTATACTTGATAGTTCTTCATTTGATGTATAATTCAAAAAATAACTACCATATCTATATATTAAATATCAAATTGTCAAGTATATGCCACATAGGACTCACTACGAATAACATTACTCTAGTTATTATCTCTTTTTCAAATTTTAGAAATGGTTACATTTGACTTCAAAACCTTCCAAAAATCATTATATTTTCCTTCTAATTGAATATTTAACAAAATTTTGTAACAATAAATTTGACGTTGTAATTTAATTTTAACAAATTAAGTTTTTGTAATTATTCGAATATTATGATAAATAAGATTTAATTTTTCTTTGTAACATCTTTCGATGTTGTAAAATTTATCTTATCAAATATGCACGCAACATTAATGTGTTACATGCGTCACTTCGGGGAGGAAGGAAGATTAGCCAAAGGGAGAGTTTTTATTTTTATAAGTATAATTTAGATATTTTACATTATTTTATAAGAAAGAAAATTAAGAAATAGTAAAAGAGAAATATATTATGCAAAACAATTAAAACTTTTTTAAACATCAAACAAAACACTATTCTTTGCTTATATCACCTTTCACGAATTTTAAAATGTAATCCAAGGTATTGATCCATATACTCATTTGAAAATTACATAAAGCTTATTGATAATATGGATATTAACAAGTCGAGCCAAGTCAAAACTCGAAGCTTAGTCGAGTGGAGCTTTTGCTTGATCAAAAAATCTAGATTTGAGTCTTAATGAGCTGAGCCAGTGCAACTCGCTTTGAAAAAAAGGAAGAAAAAAAAATCGCGACGAATCTATATATTTTTTTAAAATAGTCTGAATTAAAATTGTACACGAATAAAATATTTCGTGTACAATTTTTCTTGAAACAAATAAATTTAAAAATTACATATTTTTTTGAAACTAATCAATTTCAAAATTACGTATATTTTTCTTTTTTGAAACTTTAACGAGGCAGCTACGGCTGCATAGCAGCTATTGATTTTTTTTTTTTTTAAATATATATATTTTTTAAAGTTTTGTATGCAGCCGATTTTATTTATTTATTTATTTTTAGGCTCCGTTGGTAACATGTTGAAAATGGTAACACAAGCTGGCTTAGGCTCAAGCCAACACCACAAAATGGGGCTTGACTCGACTCGATTCTACTAAACCATGAGTCGGGGCAGCTCGGTACTTTTTTCTGGCTGAGCCACGAACTGTCTGAGTCAACGAATCAAATTGACATCCTTAATTGGCAAACAGCAAGGATGATATCATTGGCTTTTACGTCGAATGTAATTGCAAGTGAAAGTCGATATAGAAAACAAGTGCACATTAAAATATCTCTTCGTGTAGTGAAAGATGTGACTATTTATTAGGGGTGAACAAAATGACCAAATCGAATCAAAACGAACAAATTGATTTAGTTGTATCCAAAAAAAAAAAAAAAAAAAAATTTATGATTTTGATTCTTAAAACCACGAACCAGATGATTCGGTTCTTGGTTCTTGGTTTTAGAATCATTTGATTCAAGTTCTGGATTTAGAACAAGAATCGAAACCAAACTCTATTATTATAATTATTACGATGTTGCTAAATGTACATTAGCACGTACATCCGGGTGTCCATTATGGACACCCGACACCTTGCCATTGGTCGAGACGTCGGTGGGCAGGCTGTCGAGGCGTCGAGTGTCCATTATGGACACCCTGATGTACACGCTAATGTACATCTAACATGGTCCTAATTATTATTATTTTTACAAATCAATGAATCATTCCAAAAAATTCAACTTCCGTCAGTGACTCATTTGTCCATTTTAGCTCTATTTGGACTCCATTTTAATGAGATTTTGATATATATATTAACATAATAAATTTTTAGAGAATGTGTGATTAAAAAGACTAAAAAAAAAATTATGTATAATATTATTTTATCGAGAAATGCATAATTGATAAGAAAAGAGAAAAATAATTAAAATGCTTAGTGAATCATTGTCATTAGATAATATTTTGTACGAGGATGAAACTTGATGTGTGGGTATTCAAATTATGAATATGTTTTGTTTGTTAATTTATTATATGAATGAATTTTACTACAAAATAATTTATTTGATGATTGATCATTTGAAGTTGAATTTGCTTAATGTTTGATGTTTATTTTTATTTTTATTTTTTTAATTTAGACATATGTTACTAACTTGTGAATATAGTGATAAATTTTAATTTGTATTTATTATTTGAAATTTTAAGTAATGGACGCAAAACTAAATCAAATCAAATCAAACCAAACTAAATCAGAATCGAAAGGTCATTTAGTTCCAATTTGATTCCATTAGGGATGGCAACGAGGCGAAGCACCCCCGCCCTGCTCCATCTCGCACAAACTTTGGGGCGGGGAAGGGACAACTTTTTGCCTCGTTTAATTTTTTTCTTATATTTTATTTTTTTTACATTTTCAAAATTTCGAGTTATATTATTATTAAAAAATAAAATATAAATTCAAAATGAGTTTTTAACGGGTGAATTGTTTAAAAATAAAATTATTTTAAATCTTTTTTTATTTTATTTTCATGGGACGGGTTCGGGACAAGGCTCCACCCCTCACAACAGGGCGTCCTGCCCAGTCCCGCCAATTCATTCGGGACGGATCTTTTTGCCGTTCCATGTATTATTAAAAGTCCATTGATTCCATTACATATATATAAAAACAAAATTTAACTAATAATCTCCAAACTTGCAATATCCAATTGTCTATCAGCTACGAACTGGAGTCCTTCAATAACAGCAATACATTCTAACGTATGGGAAGATAGAAGTTTCTGCAAATGGATTTGGCAACATCAGCGGCCATTTCCATTTGAAAGTCCCTGCTTTTCTTTCGTTTCTTAAAATTTATTTCTTCTTCAAATTCGTCTTTAATTGTCTATTTTATGAGATCTATAATTTTTATCAATTTTTCGATTATATACTTCATTAATTTTTATTAAAATTTACTAAAAATCTAATTGTTATCCGAACCAAATTGGGGGAAAACTATTTTCAAGGGTGTTTGTATCAATTTTATTATTTATGGCTTCTTCGGTAGTAATTTTGAGAATTTTTTTTTTTTTATCATAAGAGAGAAAAGTGGATCCTACCTCTGAAAGAAGAAGTAAAAAATGACATCTGGAATAATAAAATAACAATAAAAAAATTAATTTTTTGAAGAGAAAAATCAATACCAAATATGCATTTACTTTTCTTTCATTTCTTAAAAGATATTTTATATTCAAATTTGTTTTTAATTTATTTTATGAAATCTATAATTTTTATCAATTTTTCGATTATATACTTCATTAATTTTTATTAAAATTTAATAAAAATCTAATTGTTATCCGAACCAAATTGGGGGAAAACTATTTTGTTTATAATTTTTTATTATTTACTTTTAAAATTTGAGGGATATAATTGCAAGTACTTCAAATTTCAGGGGGTCAAAACAACATTCAACAAAAATGGCTATCAAATCAAATTAGGGTTTCCGCTCGTCGAGACATTTGAACTATCGACCGGCACAAAATAACCAACAATTATTTGTTTTACAAATTAGTATTTTACTGCCGTTAATCGCTCAGTGTGATAATCCATGGACGAGCAGCATAATGCAAGTGAAATGAACCTCATGGTTAATGGAGAAGATAACGGCGTTGGAAGAACTCCTGAACGCACCAACTTCGAAAATTCTTATCCTCACACTGGAAATGGAGCTAGTCCTGGGTAATTTAAATGTTTTCATTGAAAAATATTGATTTTTTTTAACTATTTGGGAAATATTTTCTTGGTGTGAGTTTTTTTTGGGTTATGTTATGAAATTTGGAAAAATATTTATTGGGGTTCTTGGATTATTCGTGTTTGATTAGAAAATCTTGAATTATTTATTACTTTTACGATATTAATTATTGATGTGTTTTTGTTTTACTTTTGATGGAATGTAGAAAAATATTTATTGGGGGTCTTGCTCGTGAAACAACTTCTGGTATGGCATTTCAAGATTATTTTTATTGAAGTTCTTTATTTTAATTTTTATTGTTTATCATTTTTGGCGTTTGGAATGGGATTGATAATGCAGCACAATTTGTCAAATATTTCGGTAAATATGGAGAAATTACGGATTCTGTGATAATGAAGGACAGGATGACAGGGCATCCTCGCGGGTTCGGGTTTGTCACCTATGCAGACCCATCTGTGGTTGATAGAGTCATTGAGGAAACTCATATTATTAATGGAAAGCAAGTAGGGACATATTTTGTCGTGTTAATGCAAGAATTATTACTTTTTATGAGCTTCTAATTGATTCTAGTTTGTGGGTTTTCCGACTCTTCGTTTTTGCAAAATTTGAAGGTAGAAATCAAGAGGACCATACCAAGAGGAGCAAACATCAAAGATTTCAGAACAAAGAAGATTTTTGTGGGTGGTATTCCGACAACAGTCGGTGAAGGTAATTTCGAGCATTGACCTGACATGATTAAATGCTGTCATATTATTTCAAAAATGGTATATCTGGAAGGAAATCCTGATAGATACTATTTTTTAGAGTTTGTTCACTGTTTTATGATCTCTCTTTATATATTCTGTTATGCAGGTGGAGATCAAGAAGGCAGAGCCTAAGAAGCCAAACCCTCCACCTCCACCACCTTCTAAGCGGCTGAGTAACTCAAGAGCTGGATTTGGAGATACGTATGGTGGATTTGGTGGAGTTGGTGGATTTGGTGCAGGTTCTTATAGATCTGGTGGAGCCTACGGAGGTAGAGGTAGCGGCTATGGTGGATATGGTGGAAGTGAAATTGGTGTTTACAGTGGATATGGTGCGGGTGGATATGGAGGTTTTAGAGGGGATCCTTCATTAGAATATAACAGCCGTTATGCGGGAGGCTATGGTAGAGGCTATGATTTAGGTGGCGAGTACGGTAGGCATGGTGAGAGTTATGGAGGATATAGCGGTGGTGGATATGGAGGATATGGTGGTGTTACTGGTTTCGGGGGTGGCTATGGAGGGGGTGACAGCAGCTATGGAGGTTCGCTCTATGGAAATAGAGGCTATGGTGGTGGCGGCGGGAGTGGGAGGTATCACCCGTACGGAAGGTAGGGAATATTTATCAGATGACTATCTCCAGTGACACAAATTTAACATTTTCTTTTTCCGGATTTGTATCATTCGAATATCGGGTAGTTTAGCTTCAGCAATTTGTTCACTTTGTATGAGAGAAACTGAATCTTGTGCATTTTTAATTTTATTAACTATTAGATTTACCTTATGGTCATTTGCAAACTTCTGTGACACTGAAACTAGTTGAGATGTATCTCATTTCTTTTTTAGGCTTTTCATAATGGTGTACAATGTCTAATCTTCAAAAACTGGCTGAGTCTGCTATTTTTGTTGAAAAACCTGTTTGGCCAGGGTCAAATCGCGGCCAAAAAACAGGGCGCACGGCTCATTTTTGTTTTGGGCGAAACTGTTAGCTGTTTAATTATGGACCTCGTCCCTCAGCTTGACCGCATTGTAGCCTAATACCTTCTTGTATTTGATTTTAGTGACCCGATTCGGGGCTTGGTGGGTATGTTATTTGCGTTATTGCCCTGCCCCGAACCAAAAAAATTGGGCAATTGGGCTTTATGTTATTCTTTCTATTATAATTTGTCTCTTCCAAAATTTATGATCCATTATCGACCCATTAAGTAACCTAAGCCAGTTACTACTTACTCATTAAGTACGAACCCTGCCACAAAGAAAAATTGGAATCAAATTCAATAAGACATTAGTCGACGATCGTCTTCACTCGAGTCTTTGCAGTGCGTCTCCAAATTCAAGGATACGAGCAAGTTATTAAGTTGTTGAATTCACCTTGCACCAAATTGCAGGAAAAATCTCTGGAGGTTTTACAGAAAATTTTTAGAATTGTTGAATTTAAACAAAAATATGGGTTCTGCTGAAATTTCATTAGTGGATATTACTCAAAGAAAAACAAGTAATGCAAGATATTTGGCTGCCAAAATAATTTCTCAGTTGAATGTACTTCATAAACAATTTTCATTTATTTGATTATGATATTGATATGGGGGTACATATTTTATGTGGATATTGAATTTGGATGTTGTTTGTATTTTCATTTGGAATCTTGTCCGCTACATTGGTTTAGTATTATATTTTTGTTTTCATTGATTTTTTTTCATAAATTGATTTTTTTTTTAAATTTGACGACTGGACCTATAAAAAATAATTTATTTTTGTGATTATTACCGAACCGACTTATGTGATTATGGTGCAGTTATGATATAGCCAAAAAAATGGTGGTTCGATAATGGTTTTGACCGAACCGATCTCGAACCAAACCGTTGTCAACCCTACGTAGATAAACCACTGTACCATAATGTTTTGAATCATTTATAAGTATCTTTGGGGTAAATTCCATTGGAGATCTTCAATTATTGGTAAGTATGGCACCCATGTCTTCGGCCTTTTAAAATTTTGTATCCATATCTGATGTCTTCAGCTAACATAACACTTTATTAAATGTTAAATGATCACGTGAAGCCGAACAAAAAGAGGAAAATTATCTAAAAGATTTTATTTATTTCAACCAACCAACAATGCCTAGTACTTCTATTTAAAAATCTAAACAAGGTACAATTCCTTGTGAAACCTCTTTTAGCGCAACACATTTATATAGTGAGATAACCAATAGAAGAATAACCTTCTAGTTTTTTGAAATTATGTATATCTCTTTTATCAATGTCCATATCTTAGACTTGACATGCTCTTAATTAATTATTAATGTAATTCATAATTTACCTTTAGACAACTTCCACTAGGGAAACTAAGCCTTTGTTTGAAGGTAATTCTCCTTAATTTTTCATTAAAAATTGGACCATTGGACTGAAAGTGGGCCCCTCCCAGCTGTAAAAGTCTAGCTTAAAATTAGTTGATTTTCATAAATGTCCTTCTTTCAAAATTAGTGTATTAGATGTTCCTGCTTTCAAAATTAGTGTATTAGATGTCAATAGGGTACATATGTAATTCTGTATTTCTTGGTCAATAATGGAGGCTGATTTTTACTTGTTAACAGTAAAAAAAAAAAATGCTAAAAATTTCCTCCAACCAACCGCTAAATGTTGACCTCCATCCATATGGGGGTTGTAATACTGTGTGTACACCAGTGTATACACATAACATTGTCCTTTTCATACAATAATGCTATGTGTACAGCTCATTGTATTTAAGCTCTTCTCCATATGGGTGGAGTGTAATGTTGTGTGTACACATAGCATTGTCAATAATGCTATGTGTATACCATAAGATGTACACATGGAGAGGGGCCTACAAATATTTTATTGTATGTGAGCTCCCTCCATGTAAGGGGATGTAATGCTATGTGTACACAATATTGTCATTTTCTATGTGGCCCTCCTCACATGGAGGAGAGCATACAAATATTTTATTGTATATGTGCCCCTCTTCATATGAGAGTGATGTAATATTGTGTGTACACATAGCATTGTCATTTTTTATGTGGGCCCCCTCCATGTGAAGGGGGTATAATGCTATGTGTACATCTGTCTCCCCTCCATGTGAAGAGGGTGTAATGCTATATGTATATATAGCATTGTCCATTTTCATAACTACGTATCTTTTCAGTTATAACCTCTTCATGGTAAAAATTAGTTTTGTCCCTATATTACGATTATAGTGAAGTTTTATTGTACTTCAATTCATTCTCAACATCACATGCCATATATATAATGGGGACTAGGGATGCGACAAATGACAAGTTTAAATTAGGGTAATTAGCACAAAACATCCATACCTTTCAAGGTTTTTGCGGAAAACATTCATACCTTTCGTTTTTTTGGCAATTTTCACCGTCACCATTACCTTTTATTGTGGAAAATGTCCTTCCGTCCACTCATTGTTAAATTGCTTCGTAAAAAAAGTAAAATGAGATTTCTCTTTTCAAAAAGCAAGGGTAACATTGTCCAAACTAATTTCTTCATCGTGGCTTTCTTCCCGCATTCTTCTTCAAATGTTCAATACTAAAAGTAATATGAAAATTCATTCAATAAATAAGAAAAAATGATGTAAAAGATAGTGTATTTCTGGTTGAAAAGAATTATTGTTGTTGTAATACTTGATGGCTCATAAAATTTTGGAATGGTAGATGAAGAGAATTAATATGTGGTTGATAAACTTGATCCTCATTTCGTGCTTATAAAGGGTGTAAATAAGGGGTAAAGTGAGAAGACCAATTAAAATGTGATTCAGTGAATGAAGAATAAATATGAATGGAGAAGATGTTGAAAATGAACGGATCTTCTTTCCATTTTAGCACAAAATTGAACTTGTGATAATAATCTCTACCTTTAAATTGTCTTTACGCAAAACATCCTTACCTTTACATTGTCTTTGCGCAAAATATTCCTACCTTTAAATTGGAGTTGTGTGAAACATCACTACCTTTGTTAAAAATTGTGAAAACCGTTCCTTTGTATTTTGAGCAAAATTGATCTTCTTTCTTCTGTCCATTCACAGATGTGATCATTCTCATTAATGGCCACAAATTGACCTTTTTTCTTCTTGTCACATGAAGTAAAGCTTGAATCTTTACAGTTCTTTATAGTTTTCTTAGGCTTTGTTAAGTAAATAAATTACTAGAACCCTTTTTTATTTGGATTATAATCTTCTGAATCATTCAAGAAATGCATACCCCCTCTTGTATTACTGGTAGTAGATTTGCTTCTCTTGAAAACAGAAGGCAATCTTAAAGATCCACGGTGGTGGGCTTGAAGGGTGGTTCAGATCTAAATGAGGGAGAAGAAGGGAAAATGGGTATAGGAAATGAAGAGAATAAATTTCCAACTTTTCTTGGAGGCAAAAAGCACAAATCCCACCTGGGCCACTGTTGCTCATATATGGATGATTTATTACAATGTTACCCTTGCTTTTTGAAAATAAAAATCCCATTTTATTTGTTTTAACGGAGCATTTTAATAGTGAGTGGACGGAATGACATTTTTCCACAATAAAATGTAAATGTGAGGGTGAAAATTGTCAAAAAACGGAAGGTATGGATGTTTTGTGCTAATTACCCTTTAAATTATAAGTTTCTCAATTTCAAAAGGTTAGGGACCGTGTAGCGAATTTGCCCTTGCTTTTAAGTAATTTTCAGATTAGAGTGCGTTTTGTTAATTGTTTACAAATTGTATTTAGTTTTTCCTTTTGTTAAATATTAAAAATTTGTTTAGTCTATATTTTCGAAATTCAATTTAAACTTTTTTTGTATTTTACTTTTGTAGTAGAAAATATTGCAAGACCATCAAATTTAAAATGTATTTATTGTTTGACAATATATTAGGACAAAATTATTTTATTTTTCAAATAAATTTTTTTTTATGAAATAAAATGTTACAAAATAAAGTTTCAAATGAAATTTTGTTTTTTAGTTTTCTATTTTAAGAAATAATTTTTGAGAATGACATAGGGCTGGACAAAACTCTTAAACCAAACCGATCGAATCGAACCAGACCAAACGGTTCTTCTTAAGTTAAATACCCAAATAGGTATTTGAATCCAGAATTGACGGATTTGGTTCGATTCTCGATTCTAGATCAAGACTTGAAAAACCTAATAAGAATCGAATCTCCCTAACTTTTTTAATTAATTTATTTTAAATGAGCAAAATTATTTTATTTTTTCTAAATAAATTTGTTAACTAGTTAATTTAGTTCAAACTAAAAAAAAAATGATTTTCCTATTTCTAATTTTCAATTCAAAGCCAATTTAATCAAATTGACCTAAGTTTTATCTAAATCTATTACTTTACTGTGTGCCGTTTCTACTGTTCTGGAGAAATCAAATTAAAGCTCGACAACACCTCTTTTAATTATTTTGAGCTCGCTATCTTCATCTTCCTGCGATTTGAGCAATTAAATTTATGAAGAACTCAGCAAAAAGAGACGATAAAGACATATAAAATTGGACTACGTTATTTTGTAAGAGCTAAGATTGAACAATCATTAGTTGAATTAATGTAACTTTGTTAATATTAAAAAATTTAATTTAATATTAAAAAATTTAATTATAATATGAAACCTGAGAATCGAACTAATGAAGAACTTAGCAAAAAGAGACAATAAAAACACATAAAATTGGACTAAGTTATTTTGTAAAAGCTAAGATTGAACATATCATTAGTTGAATTAATATAATTCTGTAAATATTAAAAAATTTAATTATAATACCGAACCTGAGAATCGAATGAAACCAAACCCGAACGGTTCCATAATTA